CAGGTTCGATTCCTGCTGAAGTCTAGAAAAAAGAAGTCTGATGAGGAAATGTGGTGATCTCCGAAATAGTGCTATAACTTCTACCGCTTACACTTTGTTGCTTTTTCAATTTTTCCTAATAAACAATCGTGGTACAAAGCTCAATAAAAATATTAAAAAAAAAAAAACACTTATATTTCAAAATAGTTTTCTTTTTTATAAAGCAATCGTGTTTCTGGCTAGTATATTTCAGAACGAATGGAGAAGGATTGAGCCAAGAGCCTGTGTGAGCAAATCCAATTTTTGGCAGGAAATGTCAGTTACGCGGTTTTGCAGAATTACGATACGCGGTTTCGTACTTTATACGACGAAATGTATATGTACATATGTATAGTAATAATCTTATTTTTAATATGTTTTGAATAAAATTCTGGGGGACATTCCCGAAATTTTTTGCCATACTTACGATGGTGCAGTGATAAACTCACTTGCTTTTATTAAGTCATTTCTTGTCATTCGATCAATAACTTTTTGCGCGTCTTAACTGCAATGCACTTAGGAAAGCAAAATCACTAATGTCAATATCACGGAAAATTAAAAATTCGGAGGGGCAATAGAAATAGAAAGCCACGCTTATCCTGATACAATTTTTCAGGCAAAAATAGAATAAAACAAAAGTTATTGTAGCCATTCACAAACAGTTACGCATTTTTTAATTGTTTGTTTAAATTTTTGGAGTAGGTATAGTACATTCATCAAAGAAATACCGTTCGCAAAAGAAAACAAAACGGCTTACAATAATAAAAAAACAGCTTTGTTGGTGGTTCAATATTTGGATCGTATAATGCTGTTTTTGATTTTTCGTTTTTACCACCACAAAATAATTTAAAAAGGGGGGACAAAAAATAGCTCTTTGAAAACGACCCATTTGTATTTTCGGCCGAGCTTTTTCTCCAATTTGAGGTGTTGTCATACCAAATTGGAACCATACAATTTTACGTCTCTTCTTAAGGTCAGTTGAGATTTTTGTGAACCTGTGTCGGACTGAGTGGTAACAGGGTAGCTAGAATTATCAATTTATCGTCTTAAAAATACATGGCAATCTACTCGCATTATCGTCTTTGACAGAAGTAGCGATTCCAGAATAGTAAGGCAAGGCCGTAAATAGTAATAGTAAAGTAAGACCATTGGTTCAACTTGATGATGTTGTGCTCAAAATTGCAACGATTGTTAGGCCGTTAAATGAACTCGTGTCTTAGTATGAAAGATAAAAAAAATTTTGATTTTCCGGCAAGTTGTTCAACTCGTCGCAACGTTAAGGCCAACTTAGAGGTGCCATGACCATAACGCCTTAGCCATAATGTAGCGAAATACTTCAGAGCTGCTTATGGTTATGGCAAAAAATTAAAATAAAATAGATACCTACGGTTATAGTTATGGCTCTGGCGTTATAATATGGCACCAATAATCGTTTACAGAGCTGCGCGTACGTTTTATCGGAACGTTTATTGTTATTGTTATGGTTATGGCTATGGTAGGGCACCACCAATTCAGCCTTTAATAGGCATGTTGTACAACGTCATTCTATATATTTTGTGTTTATTTTCGTGGTAACCACGCCGTAAAAAACATTATATGGTAGTTTTGTATTTTCACTAAACCCAAAATGGATAACGGACCCGAAGTGCGTGTTTTTGTTAAATTTCATAAATGTATGTATGCCGAAACTATGAAATTGTAAAAATGATATTGTGCAAAATTTTAACGTTTGTGGGCAAAACGATTACGATTGATTGGCTACGAATTGATTTGAACCAACGGTTGCAACGTTTATGGCCGATCGCGCTTGAGATTAGTGTGTAATTCCTATGACTCCGTAAAGCAAACAAGTATAAATTTAAGTAGTAATTTTAATATTCAATGTTCTTTTATTTACAAATATGTATGTATGTATGTACATATACATACATACATATAGAACAGTTTTTCTTTCTTTGATATTTTACTTTAGATCATTTGATAAAATCCGGTATGATAGAATTGTAAATACAGATGTACATATGTATGTATGTATCAGTGAAAATATAATAAAATATATAAATAAGAGATTTAAAACCTGATCTTTTGATTAAAAAAAGAAAAGCTTAACTGACAAACTACAAATATACAAATCGCATAGATTATTACACATAACTAATTACAAGTTAAAGGTTTAAAATGAGAACAATTATTGAGAAGTAGGAAGATGCTATTTGTTTCCGCTCAAGTTATACAGCGTTTTTCGTTGAATCTTTTATGTTAAATATATTAAGACAGTTAAAATTATCTTTAAAAAGATTATTTTGATTGGCATTATAGATGAGTTAATTACAACCAACATAGATGCAGTTTGGTACCCACTAAAAATGTACTTCCATCGTTTTAATGTAATAAAGATGTCTTTTCTGTTAAAACCACAATCCGTATTTTCGATTCCTAACTAGCTTCTCCGTTTTTTACTAAGTATATATAGCGTTTTATCGTTTTTTTTTTTTTTTTTAATTAAAACCCTTTATGTTGGCATTCACTTTTGATTTCACTTAACATTGTTACTCTTTTGACTCTTTGCCACCCGGTATGTTTAAAGGCTTCACACCAAGTCAACTCGCGGGCGGAATTGTAATCGCAGTGGTGGATCTCTGAAACGCCAGCGTGTCACATAAACAAACTTTAGTGTATGGTCTTTACCCAACGATTCCTCATTGCACAGTATGTCGATCTGAAAATAAACCGTAAAACTGTTAAGTATATACTTATTATTGCTTTACATGTAAATTTTAAACATAACTAAATTTTGTACAATCAACTTTATATTAATTGTAGCCCATGATGCAATAATGAAAGGTGTTATACGTTGCAACAGCTCGAATTCGAATTGTATTTTGGAAGTTCAAGAAAAACGGAAAGAAAAAAGCCATTTAGTGGAAAAAGTACTAAATTTCATACCGCCTAAGTGGGCATAAATCGAAACATTCGTTGTCTGCAATGTGCGTGTTTGGTATTTTTGTAAAGGTAATTTTTCCACTAAAAAGAATAAAGCAGAAATTTCCCTATAAAATAAATGATATGCCGCCCGGAAGCCACTGAACTCAACAAATTTAATACTAAGAATTTTACACGAAACATAGCCATGCGCTAGCTCTTCATGGAAATAAATATCAAAAAAACATTGCTTGAAATAAAATGTCTTTTTGACGTTTTTTATATTCATATATATGGTAGATAACTATAAGAATAAAAATTTTGGAAAAAAATTAAACACAAGGTGTCCTTACGGTATTCCAGAAAAAAAAATTTTGTTTTAATAAAATGGGTAGTTTTAATGGAATTAATAAAAAATATATGTCAAATATGTTTTATTTATTACTTTATTTAATTGTAAGGTTTTTAGCTTCCAAAATAGAAAAAAAGCTGCTAACTTATTGCACTTTTTGAAATAATGCGATTTTGCTAATGCATAAAATCATCTTTTCATTTCTTGTCAGTGCCATCAAATAAGAACGAATAGTTCGATTTTCAAAAACGAGGAGACAGATTAAAAAGCTTGACTTAAAATAAGGATTTATTTTTTAGATAAAAAATAAATAAATAAATAAATAATAAATTTAAATTATTTAAGAAGTTAAATGAATTGTTAAAATATTGGTATCAATCGAAATGCGTGTGAAAAGGGTTTATTTCTTAACTACATGCAACAGGGTTGCCACCTGTTTAAAAAATCGAATTACATTTGTATTAAGGGAATTAGGTAATTGAAATACATAGGTATCACCATATGGGAGTCAGAGGTTTAAGAAGGTCACAGCTTATAAATATTTTGAAGGGGGTTGCCACCTGTGTGTAAAGTAAAATTTAGTTAAACTAAAATAATAATTGTAATGTAATTGTAATAATAATTGTAATAATTGACATCGTATTTGTTATTTTATTACAAAAACATACATTGCCAATCAGTGATTTGTTCTGATTACATTTCTTTTAAATTACTGGACTCTTAAACTAACCCAGGAATGTTTTTACTCTTCACTTATTTCTTGATACATATCTCCAATTTTTTCTTGTGTCTGATATCCATACTGATAAACATATTTCAGTTGGGGGATTCACAACGGTGTCGTAAGTGTCATATTGTTGTATGTCGTAGACTTTAAAAGCTTAAATAAATGTTTAGAAAACCTGAAACAACAACCAACTCTTTTTTAGCACTGCGAAAATTCATAATATGACATTGATGGTACCTTGCGAACACCCCATATATATTTTTTATGCATTTAAAGTTGACGACACACAACAATAGGACACTTACGACACCGTTGTGAATACCCCAAGTGACCTTATTGCCTTAATTAAACTGAATTTAATTTTTTAAACATGTGGCAACATTTCTACGTATCGTTTAGAAGTAAAGCATTTTCAAAACCATTTCAATTGATACCCTTATTGTAATATCTAATTGATTCAACTTATTAATTCATTTTAATAAAATTTGTAACGGGTGGCAACCCATTTCAAAAGAAATAAAACTTTATTGCACATCTACAGGACATTGGACACCACTCTTTTTAAAATAGAGCGAATTATATGTACATACCTATGTAAATGCTACAAGAACCAAAATTTTCAACTTAAACTGCATTTACAGTGCACAGTGGCCAATTTTTGGAAAACCCTGGCCAAAAGTCCAAAAGAAAATTGGTACATTCGTATGCATAACCATCTTATATTGTTAAGAGGGCTCCACTGCGTATCGTTGTGAGGCAACAAGTCGATTCTCTTAAGGCATTTAGTGTTACAGGAGATCGAAGTGACTGTTGCTAGCAATTCGCTCTAAACTTTTCGTAAATTAAAGTTTTCGACGTTGTTAAAGTTGTGGTATTCAGCCTCATTGCGTAAGTCGTAAATTAGGCTAAATTGTACGACTCGACAACGTTCCGATTGTCTACTGTCGTGCTGAAATAAGTAAACGACGAAAACCGTCGAAAAGTATAGAGTGCTGCCAAGTTTTTCCGTTTTAATACACTAGTCGAGTGGAAATGTTTGGCAATAATGTGAAATTTTCGATACGATTCGACTCTCGTAAAACGACTTGCATTCGACACGACTCTCGCAATGAGGGTGATTATCTTTAAAAAATTACAGTCTTCAACTATCCGCTCATGGACATTGTAATCTAGAGTATGCAAAACATGTTTTTTCATTGTCACACCATCTAAAAACTAACGTTAGACATAGATATCCACGGATTGATTTTTTTTTATTGACTCATTATGATAAATTAGGAAAATAGTTACCAGAGTGGTCCAGATGGGCGGTCTAATTTTCTTTTTCATATATACTGAAGTTTTTCCCATCCACCTTGGTTAAAACCACCTGCCACAAGCCGCCACTGTAGTTTGGACATTAGTTTTTATACGCGATTCTTAGTTTTTTTAATGTTTAAAAGATTTAAATTATGTAAAAAATTATTTCTGTCAAGATTTTGATGTTTTAAAGATTGGATGTTTTTAGAATTTAATGATGTCAGAAAGTACCACTTTATTATAGTGCACTCGGCGAGAAATTTTCGATGCATTGTTTAATGCAAGTCTTATCATGCGGTTTTGCCGTTGATATACATCTCTTCAAACAATATTGCCTGGATACTGCGAAACTGTTGATTAAAAGCTATCCATGCCAACATCAATTCATGAAGTGCTCATCCATGGGCCTCTCATTATTGAATGGGCACCCCTGCCAATTGGGCAACTTTCCGAAGAAGCTCAAGAGTCAAGGAGTAAGGATATTAAAAAATATCGGGAAAACTTTTCAACAAAATCTTCCAGGATAAATACGATGACAGATATTTTTCATTGGCTGCTTGTATCCTCGGACCCTCTCATTTCAAGTTTACGTTTAAACCCACCTACACAAAATCATATACTGTCGTCAGATGTCATTCAATTATTATCAACTGTTGTAAATGCGGATGTGAAATTGCCATAAAAAAATATTGATATGAGCTTGGATATTTCAGATGAGTGCGAGTCTGACGGTGTATAAAATTGTTATCTTAAAAATATATTCCTGTACCAACAAATATGTATGTCTTGTTTATTGATTCATCTCCCGTGTAAATTTGAATATCAACATTGTTAGAAACAAACATCAGTGTTTGTCCGAGCTTCTCTTCCGATTTGTGGCGTGCGCCTTGATGTTGGCGCACAAATGGGAGGGACCAACAGTTTTACGCCGAATCCGAACGGGGATTGCATTTTTATGAGAAGCTGTTCTTCGTGGCTGAATACACTTGGGGGTTTGCCATTGCCTGCCAAAGGGCGACCATTATTACAAACAACTTTTTTGTTTCTTTTTTTTTGATGTTGGTCGGAAACTGGGCTTGAACCCAGGCCCTGCGGAATGATAGCGTACATTGCTAGCCGCTACATCACATTATATAACAAAAAAGCAGAAAACATGACCTTTTATACTTAACTACCTTAGTTTTGCTAAAAATCTGATTATGCTAAGCGTACGCAGCGGCCATTATGGATCCGCCATTTTGAATTTCGAAAATATGTGGTGAAATTTAAAACCAGCAACCAAAATAAAGACGGATACACAAGGTTTGATTACAATTGTACCACGATTCGACTTTTGGCCAGCTTTTTCGAAAAATTGGCCACTGTGCAGTGGAAGTATGTAAGTTATCAAAAAACCAATTGCATTTCTGAATTCAGCGCTTTCAAGTTCATTAAGAAACAAATTTTCATTAAAATCCGTCCGCAATCCAATTTTTGCCCACATACATATATGGAAGCGGGGCACTGTGCAGCGTGCCAATTATCATATTGGTAGTCTCATAAATTTGTGGAAAACTAAAATAATAAAATTAGGCGTGTTTCTATTCACAGGAATATCTAGCCCCAACCGCCAAAAAACGCAAGCGAGATTTTTTTTCAAAATTTTCTTATTGATGCAGAATGGCATCTAGATGCTCTACGGGCATTTCTGCATCAAAAATAGAGTTTTTGAAAGATATATCGCTTGCGGTTTTTTGGCGGTTATGGCTCGATATGATAATATGCTTGAAATTTGTAAGCTGATACCCAGCTCGTACTGCCGTACCTAAACCAAAGTGTTGGAAGAGCGTTTTCTAATACCTAGCGTTAACGCCGAAGTGCCCTACTTACCTACACAAAAGCGTCAACGCTCCGTCAAATGAAGAAATCACACCAACAATAAGCATAGGTTTGTTTGTGTGGAACACGAAAATTACAGTTTCGCCGTTTTCTGCAGCCAACTTCAATACCTAACGCCCTGTCAAAATCGGATTTTACAACCGCTCAGCGTTTACGCCGTGTTGTTTCGGTATGCTTCATACAAATTGTGTGGGCATGAGAATTGTTTGACAGCCAGACAACGCCGACGCTTTTGTTTAGGTATGGCAGTAAGAAAAGTATCCCTTATGAATTTGAAATGTTTCCCTTATAAAAGTATAGCCTTTCTGTATTATACGGGACAGTCCTTTTTCTCGTTAATTGTCCTGGTAATTTATTTATTTCATACGGCACGTCAAATGTTCTGTATTTCTTTTAATTTCCCGTATTTGTCCCGAATTCGATATTTTGGCGCCTTAATAGCTCATAAAAATGACATGCTTATGAACCAGTTTTTATACCCGAGCGCACTTGTGCACAAGGCTATATTAACTTTG